TGAAAAACTATTTCCAAGAAAGTCAAAAAGAAACCTGTGGTACATAATGTATCTTCTGGAAAACAAAGATTATATGATGTCAAGTAGGAAGTTTTCATTATGTGCATATACTAGAAAAATATTTATTCTATTCTAAATCAAGAGTTTATAAGTAATTTAATGGTGTTTAAGAACTACTTAGAATTCTAAAATAACACATCTCAAAGTATGGGCAACTTATTTTAGAAATCACTGTGGAGACACACACAGCTGCTGCCTCCCGCACCCTGGGAAAGGTTAGGAAGAGGGGAGAGTGGCAGGAGAGGAGAACTGAGGAAGGAGTGCCCTCCTCTCTCTGGTGAGGTTGTCTTTGCAGCCCCCTCCCAGGCCTCACCCTTCTTTTCTTCTCAAAACATGAAACATAGTCCTTGAATTTCTGGTAAATTTGCCTATAGAACCATCTATATGTGGTATTGTGACAGAGCTCACAATTTCAATTCAGCTTATTTAATGGTTCTAGGCTTGAGGGTCTTTTACTGAATTGTTTTAACTACATTTTAAAGAAATTTACCTTTATTTGAAAATTTCCAATTTAATGAATTACTATTCTTAAGTCTGTACTATATCTGTAATTATGTCCCCAGAACATAGTCCTAAATTATTGTAGTCCTTTCCTAGCATTGTTGATTTGGGCCTTCTCTCCTTACTCTTGTTCATTCATGCTCCATGTTTACTTAGTCTATTTGATAAACTACTTTTTTCCTCCTTTCCTTCCTTCCTTTCTTTCTCCCTCCCTGCCTCTCTCCCTTCCTTCATTCTTTTGTCTTTCTCTTTCTAGTTCATTTATTTCTGACCTGATCTTTACTCTTTCCTTCCTTTAACCTGGTTTGGGTTTATTCTTTTTTTTCTTTTTCTGTTTTTTTTTTTTGTGTGTGTGTTTTAATTAACAAAATTATATGTGTTTTGGGGCATACAATCTGATGTTTTGATATATGTATACATTGTGAAATGATTACTACAATCAAGATAATTTATCACTTCATATAATTGTGTGTGTGTGTGTGGTGAGAACAGTTAAGCTCTTCTCTCTAGCAAAATTCTAATATACAATACAGTATTAATAACTATTGTCACCACTCTATATCTTAGCTCTCCAGAACTTATTTACCCTAAGTGATTCTTAGTTTGAATCTGCTTTTTAGTGAACCTCTTTGGACCTGACTAACTGTAAGCCTTTGCCTCTGTTTCAAGATCAAATCACCTTCATTAATTTGGGAGAGGAGTGTGCAGTATATTAGGCCCAGCACCCAGTGCTCTGGAAATGAACTGCAGTATTATTGATGACATAAAGAAAAACCAGATACAGACATACAGAAAAAAACAAATATCAACAATTATGCCACCCTGACAATAGCAATAATATCACAATAATAAAGTCAAAGACAAATTGAATATTCACATACTATAATAACCAATAAAAGCTACCACTGTACTCCCTCAATAATAGAAAATAGATCTACAATTACAATAAAAATCAAAGAAAAGCAAAATATTGATATGCAGTAAATATCTACTAAATTTAACAACTGTACCACTATTAACAATGGAAAAGAATTCAGTAATAACAGCATAAAGTTAACTAAATATCAAAAGCTTAATAAAGCTTAATGTTGTACTAGTAAAGATGGAAGGGATGGGTAATGGGAGAATAAAACAAGTAAAATTTGAAAAATAAAGGAAAGGAAGATAAAAAGGAGAGAAAAGTGATATAAAGGATTCTATTAAAGAGTAAAAGAAAATTAATAAAATCAGATAAAAGTATGAGAAAAAATAAGAAAAAAGTAACAAAATAAAAGAAAAAGCTATGAAGTAACTCTTGTATAAATAAAAGAAAAAGAAAAAAGAAGAAAAAAATCTCAACCTCCCAAAAAACCAGTGAAGAAAAATCAAACAAACAAAAAAACCATGAACCCCCAAAAATTCCTTCATGTTTTTGAAGGATTAGTTTCTTTGCAGGGTCTGCAATCTGCAGTATTGGAATCTAATACCAAGACCTATCTGAAGCTAAAGTCCTGCCCCCCCCCTTACACATTCACATTTTTGTGTGTAAATGTTAATGTTGGGTGTGTTTGGTCAATGGTCCACCATCCACCATTCAGCTGTAATCATTCTGGCAGCTCTGTTTTCACATGCCTCTATACACCCTAAGTCATGGCTTTCTTTGCCTAGCTTTACAGCCTGTGGGTTTGTGAGGTACCCCTCCTTGCTCTAGAGGTCTCTCTCTCTGTACACCCAAGGTTGTGGCAACTATCTAAGCTGAGCTGTGTCATTGCTCACATTGGCAGATAGGAAAAACAAGCAGACCACTGAATTCTGTGCTGAATATAGGCAGTGGAGTGGGGGTTTGTGTATGGTATGTGGTAGCAAATAAGAGTGATTAATTCAAACAATTTTTGTCTGGGAAAGTCTTTGTCTCTTAAATTTAGAAGGTCAGTCTTTCTGTATATGGTATTCTTTCCTGGCAGTCTTTCCCTTCTTTTAGCACTTTGACTATACCAAACCATTTTCTTCTGACTTGCAGTTGTCTTGTTGAGAAGTCTACTGAGCTTCCTTTGTATATGATAAGTTGCTTTTGTCTTGTTGCTCTCAAAATTCTTTCTCTATCATTATAATGTGTCTCAGAAATGATCTCTTTAATCTGTTTGGGTTTATTTGGCCTTTATCAACCTGGGTATTCATCTCTCTCTCCAAATTTGAAATGCATTCTCTTATTATTTTATTAAATAAGCTTTCTGCCCCTTTCTTTTTCTCTGTTCCTTCTATAATTCTCATATTGTATAAATTGTGCTTGATGGTATCCCAAAAATACACAGGCATTCTTTACTCTTTTTCATTTTTTCTTTTGTTCTTCTGACTGGATAATTTCAAACGCTCTATCATTGAGCTCACTGATTCTTCTGCTAGATTGAATGTTCTTTTGAAGCTTTCTGTGAAATTTTTCATTTCAGTAATTGTGCTCTTCAGATCCAGAATGTCTATTTGGTTTGTTTTTAACTTTATTCAACTTCTAAATTTGTTCATGTATTATTTTCTTGATTACATTTAAATTATTTAAATTATTTAATTATTTGATTATTTTAAATTCTTTGTTTGACACTTCTTAGCTCTCCTTTTCTTTTAGGTGAGTTATTGGAAGTTTATTTTATTCCTTTATTTTGTTATTGATAGGTCTCCCACCACCTCAGCAGCTATTATGTATAGTAGCTGCCCTCTTCCTATGGTGCCTTGCCCCCTCCCCTGTGTGATGTCATACCAAGATGGTTGCTCCCACCAAAGAATAAACCCTTCTTCCCAGCATGCCCCTGTTCCCGCCTACAAAGTAACCTAACACTCGCTCACCTCCTACCACCTAGTGACATCATGGGCTCCTCCATTCCCTAGTCACTACCTCACTCAACCCCACCTCTGTCCCTACAAACCCCACCCCAGTCTCTATAAAAGACTTTCCCTGCCCCAGCCATATTGCTTTGGCTCTCCTTTGTTCAGAGACAGCCCAGCAGATCTATTCCCCTAATAAAGGCTTATTCTGGCCTGGTCTGGTCTTGGTCTTCAGCCCTTTTACCTGACAGTTATGTGTGACTCTTCCTGTCCCCTGTAGTTTTGTAATGGTATCTGCATATTTGAAGAAACAAAATTCTTTCTTGTATTTATGGATTAGCTTTTATTGGGAAATTCCTTCACCAGATATGCTGCCTAGAAATTCTAGGCCTTTTCCCCCTAGCTGCCCTGTGTATCCATTTATTTTGCCTCCATTTTAAGCATCTTTAAAATATTTTGGTCCCTTTGGTGTCTGATTTTGTGAGGTCATATTTCTCCATTTCTTTAAACTCAGTTACTGATGCTTTATTTTGTTACTTTATTCGTGTTGTGTTTTCCTAATTCATAATCCTCGCATTGGTATTTTTCTGCTTCATTGAAGAAATATATACCTCTTCCATTCTTTACAGAGTGGCTGCAGCAGGAAAAGCCCTTCACTAATGATCTCAGTCAGAGATTCTGGACAGGCCATCTGGTAGGGTTCATGATTGCTGCTGGAGTCTTAGTGCATGCTGACTTAGTGTCAGTTTCAGTGCTCTATCAGACACAATAATATATATTCAAGGGTAAGCCAGTAAATATATTCATTTGGTGGGTTTTCATGGGCAAGCCTTTCTGCCTGAGTCCATGATGATGGATTTGAAACTTGGGTTTGTGAGGATTTGGCTGATGCCTGGTTTCACGATGGTGAGTCAAGAGTCTAGATCTATGGAAGCAAGTCTGAAGCCTAGGTCTGTGGGGACAAGCCTGCATTATGAGACTGCTTGACTAGCTTGGCAGTAGTGTGTGCCTAGTAACTGTGGTTGTAGGAACTATCCTGAAGCCTGGGGCCATTGTGAGTAGCTTACTTCCTGCAGATGGAGTTTATTCTTTTCTTAAATCACTACTTTTACCCCCAATTGTTCAATTGTTTCATGTAATGATTTAAATCACTGTATTTTTCAGATTTAGGTCTTTTACCTTTTTTTATTTGGTTCTCTTTCAAATATAATGCTTCTCAACTGACAAATGGGATTATGATGGTCAGTTCTTTTCATTAAAGGTGCAAATTTTTGAAAGTCTTTCCCTTGCCTCCTTATCCATATGGATATGAAAATAGAAACCATTACAATATCAAGAGTGGCTCCATACATAAGGTTTTTAGTTGCCTCTGTATTTCTTATTCTCTGTGAGGTTCAGTTCTCATTTAAAAGATATTTGTTATTGGAGTAATTTCAGGGCATCTAGTCCATAATATTGCTAGACCCAGAAATCCTTCATAGAGTTATTGTCAGAATCAAGTGAGAACCCAGATAAAGAAGTGCTTTGAGGAATAAAAAAAACGTGTTGTAACTCTTTAAAAGGTGTGCTTGTTAATGATCTTTATTATGTAAATAACTCATTGTTTGTACTGATTTATTTTTCCTTTTTCACTCTTGATTTAGGGATGCAATTCTTTTGATCCAGTGGAACATAAGAGCTTTCATGGCTGTGAAAAACTGGACCTGGTTGAAGCTCGTCTTCAAGATCAAGCCCCTTATTAAGTCTATGGGAGTAGGAGAAGAGATAGCCAGACTGAAGGAAGAATACGCACAACTGCAGAAAGCCTTGGAGAATCAGAATCTCAGAGGGAGGACCTGAAAGCCCAGCAAGTTTCCCTCAACCAGGAAAAGAAAGATCTGCTTCTTCAGCTGCAGGCTGTGAGTGGTACCACCACATGTTCTTTATATTGTTTTTAATTATGCTCCCTTGTTCTACAGGCAGTGTTAACTTGAAAAAACAAAACAAAACATAAAATGGAAGCAGGAGCTTTGCAAATACCATAGATTATCATCAAACATACATAATGGAAAAGCTTGAGAAGACACCCTGTTTCACAATGAAGCAATTTCATTGGCAGGATGTCTTTGAAAAAGAATCGAACTATCAGATGGCTGTTTACCATATAATAACACCATAATCTATCAAGGGAACAGGAAGCTTTTAGTCTTAATTTTGAATGACCCATTATCAAAGCAATTCATAGGATGTTAGCTCTGAGAAAAGCTTGACTGAAATCTTCAGCATTATTTCAGTAAGCTTCTAGTTGTATTTCTTTTTTTTTGAGACAGGATCTCACTATGTAGTTCAGGCTGGCTTTGAACTTATGGCAAGCCTCCTGCCTCAGCCTCTCAAATTCTGGGGTTACAGGTGTGTGCCACCATGCTGGGCTTTGTATTTCCTGATTTTTGTCTTCTTACTTTTTCCTTGGTTCAAATCAACATTATTAACTGAAAGGGTCGCTGAAAGGAAGGGGCACACATATGTTCAAACAAACTTTATTGGGGCAGCAGTCTGCAGCCTTGCCAGGACTGACTCACAAAATGGAGACCAGCTGTCGCAGGAGCTGAGTTGGAGGCTTATATGGGGTTTTTGCTTGTGGGGGAGCACGTAGTCCTTTGATGAGGATGGGTGATTTCGGTTAGGGCATATAGCCACAAATTCTGCTTGGGGGACAGAGAAACAGGCTCCAGGAAGTCCCTATCTCATGGGAATATCTGGTGGATGGAGTGACAAGCTCCAGGAAGTCCCTATCTTAAGGAAACATTTGGTGGAATGAGGTGACAAGCTCCAGGAGGTCATTAACTAGGAGGGGTCAAGCCTTAGTTATGTAGAAAGTCCCTGTTAGCAGTTAGGGAGGAGGGCAGGGAGAAGGGGGAGGGAGCTTGTTCTGTGGGGGCTTCAGAATACCTAACACTAATTAGTTGAGTTCTTGAAAGAGCAGTTCCCAACTTTGAGTTTGTATCAGTTACATTTGTGAAACATTAAAAAATGAAAGAAATGATGCTTCTCAAATATTTTGATTAGGCAGACCATGTGTGGAGATGCACTTTTCTATGTATTTTCCATCTGTGCCCCTTTAAACACTGTATGTTGTACAGAAAGTCATTCTTTAGATAGGAGTTACCTAGAATTCAATAGTCTAGCTTTTTATCTTTATTCTGCTTTATCTAATTAGCTGACACAACATAGGGAAAAATTAAGCCCAAGATGGCTACACTTCAGACTGGGAGAGGGCAGCAATTTCCAGGCTCCATCAAGTCTAAATTAGCAGAATTCCAGCACAGGTGCACCTTGTGGTCTTTGTGTAAATAACTTACATAGCGAAGATCGATGCTGGCACATTGCCACTATTGTGTATTTTGCCATAAATCTGGGCTACCGCGAGGGCTAGCAGGCTGGCTGGGGGACTGAGTGTCTGGCTGAAGGACTAAGTGTGTGCAGCTAAATAAAGAGATAGACTAAGGCTAAGTGACTGGGCGGCTGGACAGACAGGGTGAGCTGCCCAGCTAAATAAGGTACACCAGACATTCTCATGACTCTCTGTCTTCTTTGGGCTGCCTGTATCTCTAGTGAACCTTTCGAGCCTAAATTTGTGACAAGACACACAATTTAAGCAATTCAAATAGATAGTAAATTGTCCAAATGGGCATAATGTGGAGGATGGATGTTAAAGTCTAGAGGTGGAAGATGAGGGTTATATTACTTTCCTTCATTATAAGGAGTTACCTGAGATGACTAAAGTATACAAAAAATGTTTATTTTGTCTTAGTTTTAGAAGTTTCTATCCATGATGAGACAGTGCCTTTGCTTTTAAACTCCTGATGGGCTCCTGGATGACAGTGTCAGGAGGTTGGGTATAATGCAAATTGCTTGCCTCATGGCCAGGAAGCAAAAGAGAGAAAAGGACTGGAGTCTAACAATTCCCTTGAAGGGCATGTCCCAGTTACCTAATCTCATTACAGCCCACCTATTAAGGCTCCACCACATCTTTTTTTTTTTTTTTTTTAAATTCTTTTATTGGTACATTGTAGGTATACAACACAATTATATTTATTATTTTACATTCTTACCAGAAAAACAC